TTTGTTTTAAATTAAGTTTAGCTTCAGTTAGTTTCCAGAGTGGATTTTCTTATTTCGGTTTAGTTCTTGTTAGTTTCAGCGTTCATCTTAGTCTTTTTAATTATTACTGCATGCTATTACTCTGAATGTCTCAGAGAAAATTAGTACAGGTTTAACAATAAAAACTAATTTTTCAAAAGCAGCTGACCCACGGTGTGTCACAGTATCGTAAACAGTAAAACTTTCCTTTACATTTTCACTTTACTCTATTCAAGTTCACAAAATTGTTTGAGTTAATTCATTTTTTTCAAGTATTTTTTTCCACATCCAGCTTTAGTTTTAGTTAATAATAATAACCTTGATTGACACAAGTTGCCAGTATCTATCACCTCAAAGTGGTATATGATTATGTGTGCCTTACGTCTCTCAGAGCCTCCTGAGCGAGCGAGCGGAAGGACAAAATGACCCCAATGATGGTCATTCTCTTCAAAACGCTGTCCACAGCTACAAAGACAGAAAACACAGCGAGTGAGTGGATTACAGCAGCTGTCATTGTGATCAGTGTTAATTCTGGAGTTCACCAGTCACAAAAATAAACTTGCAAGGAGGTGTATCAATTTGTACTTCAAGTGAAGTCATTTCTAACCAACCACTTTCAATACGATGGCAAGTTTAACACAGATGTAAACGAATCTCAAACAAGAGACTGACACTGAGACACTGACATGAAACAAGCCGAGGCTGCTGATTGTAAACAGCTAAATATCACACACACAAAAAGTGGCATGAGTACTCCCATCGTGTTTGGATAATCACTTATTGTTTGGCACCATGATGAAACTGTAGCTGCAAAGATCTGTGCCAAGTAAGTGCAAGCACAAGTATTAGCGTTAGTGTTAGTAATTACAGGTGAGTTTCTTGAAGAGCGCAGCCATGTGGTCTGGTTTGTCGAAGCTCGTCCTCATCTGGGTCAACACCTCCATGTTTTCTACCACCAGTTTCTACAGAGAAACGCAAATAAACAAAACACAAATATATGTAAGAACATTTTGTCAAAATTTTTAAAAAAGAAAAAAAAGCCTCGTTATGAACGGAACCACGGAAGGCGTCAGACTAGGGCTGCACGATTAATCGTTAGAAAATCGCGATCTCGATTCATACTTATGTGCGATCTCATTTCCAAATGACAACGATTAAAAAAAACAAACAAACAAACAAAAAAAACCGACGACGATTGTACCGCATTTTGACGTGCGGGACGTAATCTGCATGAAAACAAGCGCTCACTCTTCCTGCTCAACAAATGACGAGGGCGGAGCCTTATACCACGTGATACAGAAGCTGGCTGCTAAAATTAGCAGGAAAAAACAACGGAGAG